TTGTAGTGGTTTCTGCCGTACATTGACATGAATCAGCCATGGATTTACATGTGTTCCCCATCCCGATCCCCCCTCCCGCCTCCCTCCCCATCCCATCCTCTGGGTCTTCCCAGTGCACCAGGCCCGAGCACTTGTCTCATGCATCCAACCTGGGATGGTGATCTGTTTCACCCTTGATAGTATACTTGTTTCAATGCTATTCTCTCAGAACATCCCACCCTCGCCTTCTCCCACAGAGTCCAAAAGTCTGTTCTGTACATCTGTGTCTCTTTTTCTGTTTTGCATATAGGGTTATCATTACCATCTTTCTAAATTCCATATATATGTGTTAGTATACTGTAATGGTCTTTATCTTTCTGGCTTACTTCGCTCTGTATAATGGGCTCCAGTTTCATCCATCTCATTAGAACTGATTCAAATGAATTCTTTTTAATGGCTGAGTAATATTCCATGGTGTATATGTACCACAGCTTCCTCATCCATTCGTCTGCTGATGGGCATCTAGGTTGCTTCCATGTCCTGGCTATTATAAACAGTGCTGCGATGAACATTGGGGTGCACGTGTCTCTTTCAGATCTGGTTTCCTCGGTGTGTATGCCCAGAAGTGGGATTGCTGGGTCATATGGCAGTTCTATTTCCAGCTTTTTAAGAAATCTCCACACTGTTTTCCATAGTGGCTGTACTAATTTGCATTCCCACCAACAGTGTAAGAGGGTTCCCTTTTCTCCACACCCTCTCCAGCATTTATTGCTTGTAGACTTTTGGATAGCAGCCATCCTGACTGGCGTGTAATGGTACCTCATTGTGGTTTTGATTTGCATTTCTCTGATAATGAGTGATGTTGAGCATCTTTTCATGTGTTTGTTAGCCATCTGTATGTCTTCTTTGGAGAAATGTCTGTTTAGTTCTTTGGCCCATTTTTTGATTGGGTCATTTATTTTTCTGGAATTGAGCTGCAGGAGTTGCTTGTATATATTTGAGATTAATCCTTTGTCTGTTTCTTCATTTGCTATTATTTTCTCCCATTCTGAAGGCTGTCTTTTCACCTTGCTTATAGTTTCCTTTGTTGTGCAAAAGATTTTAAGTTTAATTAGGTCCCATTTGTTTATTTTTGCTTTTATTTCCAATACTCTGGGAGTTGGGTCATAGAGGATTGTTGTTTTCTTGTGATGAGAACTTTTGTGATTTACTCTCTTAACAACTTTCAAATAGACAATGGGTAAAGGAGATGTGGTATATATGTACAATGGAATATTATTCAGACATAGAAAATAAGGAAATTCTGTCATTTGCCACAACATGGATGATACCTAAGGGTATTATGCTAAGGGAATCAAGTCAAATAGGGAAAGAAAAAAATTGTTTTGAAGTTTATAGAATGAAAAAGCAGATCACATGCAAGGAAAAAGCTTCAGATTGAGAGTCCACTTATCACAATAAGCAAAAGACAACTTTTTCCCCAAACCTTTATATCTAGGCAACATATCATTTAAATAAAGTTAAATAAAGGTATTTTAAGTTCTAAAAAATCAGAATGTTAATCTCACTGAGGCTGTCTTTTTGTAAAAAAGTAAAGCAACTCGGGGCAGGTTTATTCTACCAGAATATTTAAATGAATTTGGTGAACTAAATAGTATTTCAGTCTTAGCAAAATTTGTCTGAATAAGTAATGATCACAATTTCTAGAGCTTTTAATGTTATTATGAATGGTAACTTGGTTTTTATATTATTCCTTAGTTACTGCCAGTATTGCAAAACATTGTTTATGTTGATAGGTTGATCTTATATTGGACTTCTTTACTGAAGTTTCTTAGTTTAAAGAGAAAACTCAAGCAACAAACAAATGACTTAAGTGATCATTTAACCTTTAAATAATTAAACCAGTTTCTCTTTCCTTCTTTTTTTTCTATCATGTCTTAATCAAATTGTTGATAGAAATTCAGTAATATTTTGAAACTTGTTATAATATCAGGCATATTTCAGATACTCTTTGCTTTTTTGACAATTTATCTTCTTTGAAATTAGGATAATCCTGGTACTGAAGACATTTCACAGTAATTTTTTTTCTTTTTCCTCTTTACTGGCTTATACAATAATTATGTATAATACAATTGATAACATCACCTACTAGATGAAAATACTAAAACAACAACATTTACCCCTAGTTGCCATGCTTTATCAGTCAATATAAAATTGACTGATTTCAGTCAATATAAAATTGATTGAAAAAATGGAATTCTTATTTTAATATTAGCAGAAGTTGACTGTGCATGGCAACAAGTATATATATTTTTAGGGGCTAGCATGATGTTTAGTGGGCTTCCTAGGTGGCTCAGTGGGTAATGCAAGAGATGCAAGCAGACATGAGTTCGATCCCTGCGTTAGAAAGATCCCCTGAAGGAAGGGGCAGCCCGCTCCAGTATTCTTGCCAGGAGAATCCTGTAGACAGAAGAGCCTGGTGGGCTACAGTCTGTGGAGTCGCGAAGAGTCGGACATGGCTGAAATGACTGAGCATCACACATGCACGCATGATGTTTAGTAGTTGTTGATACGAGAGAAAAGTGTAAACAGAGGAGACCTCCTTGTCACTTTCACTGCTTTTATTCCTGTTATCTCATGTCTAGGTCAACCTGAAATGTGTATTTTATTGTATCGAATATTTACCTATGTTTACATAGGTATGTAGACAATGCTATATCCTGCTGTTGCTTCTGCCCAGAAGTTTTCGGATTTTGTTTGTCCAGATATCCGATAACTGCTTCTCCATCATGTCTATTTTTCCCCCATAGTTTCTTCTCTCTCTTTCTCTTTTTTTAAATAAAACACTTTATTGAGATATGATTGACATATGGAAAGCTGTACATATTTGATGTATACAACTTGAGTTGGGAGAGACACTCATGTAACCATCACCACAAATTAACGCCATAAGCACACCCATTATCTTCAAAGTTTTCTTCTACCCTTTTCATTTATTATTTTTTATGTGATTAGAACACTTAACATAAGATATATCCTCCTAGAAAATTTTTGATTACACAAGACGGTATTGCTAACCATAGGAACAATGGTGTACAGTTGGTATCTAGGACTTACTGGGCGTAACTGAAACTTTGTACCCTTTGGTTAGTATCTCCCCATTACCCTCCTCACCTGGCCTCAGGCACCCTCCTCATAAATCCAGTTTGTCTCCTAGTGACTCCTCAGCTGTTTTTATTTCTCAATGGCTGTTCTTAAATTTTGTAGATGTTGATAACAAGACTTTGAAGTAAGTCATTAGATATTAATATAACCTATTATTCTATTAATAAGTCATGTAACACATTTGCTCACTCTAGTTTCATTTAACTTTTCTGATGACAATATATGTGAAGTATACATTTCACTGTGAAACGTACTGAGTTCTGGGTACTGAGGTAAAAATCTGTATGAGTATAAGCTAACTGAATCACTTGTTTTATGACCAATACAGACTAATCTCTCAGTAAATATTAGGCTTACTTTTTACGAAGCAATTAATCTCTCTTTCAAAAATTCTAGTGAATTGCAAAGTTAAAATTTTTTTTTGCATTCTAAACATTTTTAGTAAGCACTTGGGATTGTTCTTAAAGACAAAGAAGGGGAAGTTATGTGCTTGTAACATGTTAGTCACTGTAGAACTAGTTTCAAAAAGCTAAAAAGTTATGCAATGCATTGCATTTATGTGAGCAATGCATACCTTTTAAAGTTTGTAGTTTATCTGCTTATTATTTTATTGACTTTCTTATTTATTTGTCCTTTTCTATAACAGGTAAACATGCGGCCAAAATTAAATGGCTGAATTGCCCACGTCACAAATAGATACTCTTATAGAACTTTTGCATGCAAATTACCAATCTCTGTTAGCAGTTATTGATTAAGGTAAGCCCTGCATAGAACTAACCTATGATATAAATCTTAGATAGGGACTTTAATTTTACTACACTGAAGTAAATAAGAATCACTAAAGTGGCTTCCCTGGTGGTTCAGTGGTGAAGAATCTGCCTGCCAGTGCAGGAGACACAAGTTCAATCCCGGAGCTGGGAAGATCCCACGTGCTGCAAAGCAGCTAAACTCATGTGCCACGGCTATTGAGCCTGTGCTCTAAAGCCTGGGAGCCGCAATTACTGAACCCTTGTGCCACAACTACTGAAACCCGCATGCCCTAGAGCTCACTCTCCACAGCAAGAGAAGCCACTGTAATGAGAAGCCCACGCACTAGAGAGTAGCCCCTACTCGTTACAACTGGAAAAAAGCCCATGTAGCGATGAAGACCCAGCATGACCAAAAATAAATAATTTTTTAAGTTAAAAAAAGAATCATTATAAATAACAAGATAAACCATTTCTATGTCAAACATAAACTTTGTACCCTTTGGTTAGTATCTCCCCATTACCCTCCTCACCTGGCCTCAGGCACCCTCCTCATAAATCCAGTTCGTCTCCTAGTGACTCCTCAGCTGTTTTTATTTCTCAATGGCTGTTCTTAAATTTTGTAGATGTTGATAACAAGACTTTGAAGTAAGTCATTAGATATGAATATAACCTATTATTCTATTAATAAGTCATGTAACACATTTGCTCACTCTAGTTTCATTTAACCTTTCTGATGACAATATATGTGAAGTATACATTTCACTGTGAAACGTACAGGGTTCTGGGTACTGAGGTAAAAATCTGTATGAGTATAAGCTAACTGAATCACTTGTTTTATGACCAATACAGACTAATCTCTCAGTAAATATTAGGCTTACTTTTTACGAAGCAATTAATCTCTCTTTCAAAAATTCTAGTGAATTGCAAAGTTAAAATTTTTTTTTGCATTCTAAACATTTTTAGTAAGCACTTGGGATTGTTCTTAAAGACAAAGAAGGGGAAGTTATGTGCTTGTAACATGTTAGTCACTGTAGAACTAGTTTCAAAAAGCTAAAAAGTTATGCAATGCATTGCATTTATGTGAGCAATGCATACCTTTTAAAGTTTGTAGTTTATCTGCTTATTATTTTATTGACTTTCTTATTTATTTGTCCTTTTCTATAACAGGTAAACATGCGGCCAAAATTAAATGGCTGAATTGCCCACGTCACAAATAGATACTCTTATAGAACTTTTGCATGCAAATTACCAATCTCTGTTAGCAGTTATTGATTAAGGTAAGCCCTGCATAGAACTAACCTATGATATAAATCTTAGATAGGGACTTTAATTTTACTACACTGAAGTAAATAAGAATCACTAAAGTGGCTTCCCTGGTGGTTCAGTGGTGAAGAATCTGCCTGCCAGTGCAGGAGACACAAGTTCAATCCCGGAGCTGGGAAGATCCCACGTGCTGCAAAGCAGCTAAACTCATGTGCCACGGCTATTGAGCCTGTGCTCTAAAGCCTGGGAGCCGCAATTACTGAACCCTTGTGCCACAACTACTGAAACCCGCATGCCCTAGAGCTCACTCTCCACAGCAAGAGAAGCCACTGTAATGAGAAGCCCACGCACTAGAGAGTAGCCCCTACTCGTTACAACTGGAAAAAAGCCCATGTAGCGATGAAGACCCAGCATGACCAAAAATAAATAATTTTTTAAGTTAAAAAAAGAATCATTATAAATAACAAGATAAACCATTTCTATGTCAAACAAGTCCTAGGAGAGGATTGGTGTCTTGCTAAGGTTAGGTTGTGTTTTATTTTCTGCAAAAGAACCAAATTGTAGGCAGTCACCTTCAAAAACAAACAAAAAAAATTATGTTGTAAAAACCATTTGTTTCAAAATAATATTCCTGAAGTGATTATTGCAGTTAAAGTGATTGAAGTTACTGCAAAATTATTGCAGTATTCTACCAAATACTGTGTAGAAGCCAGAGAGTCAAGCTCATTAACAGATTTATTTTTCAAAAGATGCATTTACAACATTTAAGAAATTTGACTCTTAAGAGTATTTTCATTGTAAGACAGAGTAAGGAATTGGTTAATTAAAAGTCAAAAACAACTCTACAAACCTGTGTAATTGTCTTAAAATTACACGCCATGGGCCAGGGATCCCAGATTCCCAGAGCTATTACCCTATAACATCAACGGCAAGGTAGACAGCTGTGTGGGACTTCAGATTTTTCTTCCATTTGTCAGGAAGTGACAGTTGTTTGCAGGGGAGATGCCTTATGTTATAAATGGCATGAACAGGAAGAAGGGAGTGTAGAATGTACTGGTGGCTAAGAGGACAATACAAGGGGCTCCACCTGAGTTAGGCAACACATTTCCTGGCTTTATCAGGGAAACACCCTCCTTCCTGCCTGCAGTGTAGGCAAGTGCAACTGACTGGCTTCATAATAGCATCCTGAATCCCTGGTCAACAGTGAGTCCATTGGGCAAGTGCAAGATTAAAACTGGACAGTGAGTTTGTCTCCTGGGCACCTGTAAGGTGAGCATACATGAGCAACTGATGCTGGCATCTGAATGTGTGTGACTTTTTATTTTTTGCATAGTTCACAACTTTTAGTAGGAAATCCGAGAATGTGACTAGGACAACCAACTACTGAGTGTTCCTAAAACAAACTTTTTCATCATCCCACGGCTGATGTTTAATCACAGCTGTGATATAGTAAAAAAAAGTCTACATAATAAGAATCATATATAATTTTTAGGATGTTTAAATAACATTTTATAATTAATATTTTATAGTTAATAAATATATTCAATGTCTGAAAAAATTTTGCAGTGTAACATCCCATGTGGTTTCATATATCACAGCAAAGCAAGCACAGAGTTCAGTCTCATTAATTGCAAGGTCACCCAGTCCAGTCACTCAGTCATGTCTGACTCTTTGCGACGCCATGGACTGCAGCATGCCAGGCTTCCCTGTCCATCAGCAACTCTTGGAGCTTGCTCAAACTCATGTCGATCGAATCGGTGATGCCATCCAACCATCTCGTCCTCTGATGTCCCCTTCTCCTGCCTTCAGTCTTTCCCAGCATCAGGGTATTTTCCCATGAGTCAGTTCTTTGCATCAGGTGGCCAAAGTATTGGAGCTTCAGTTTCAGCATCAGTCCTTCCAATGAATATTCAGGACTGATTTCCTTTAGGAAGGACTGGTTTGGTCTCCTTACAATTGCAAGGTAAATATTACTAAGTTGGAAGTAATTCCATGTATTCATTATAATTTGTACACACACATGAAAAGCAGAAATAAAAAACATTGTATGCAATTAATTTACAAATATTTGCCCAGTGATGACTATAAAAAATGTAATTTTAAATGCATATGGTAAATTGTATAAATGCAGTGTGTACAAAGTTATATTAATTGAGTATAGCAGTGGCACCAAAATAGACACACAGATCAGTGGAACTGGATAGAGAGTCAAAAATAATTATGTTTAATTAATCTATGACAAAGGGGGAAGAATATATAATGGAGAGAAGAGAGTCTCTTCAGTAACTGGTTCTGGGTTAACTGGACAGCTACATGTCAAAGAATGAAATTAGAATATTTTCTCACACTATATACAAAGTAAATTCAAATTGATTAAAGAGTTAAATGGAATACTGGAAACTATAAAACTCCTAGAAGAGAAAAGATGGAACACTCCATGGCATAAATCGTAGCAATATATTTTTGGATCTGCCACCTAAAACAAAGGAAATCAAATAAAAAAATAAGCAAATAGGACCTAATTAGCCTTAAAAGCTTTTGCACAGCAAAGGAAACCACGAACAAAACTAATAGATAATCTATAGATATTTGCAAATTACCAATTAGTGGTTAATAGCCAAAATATACAAATAGCTCATACAACTCAATATCAAAATCACAAACAACCCAATTAAAAATGGGCAGAAGACCCGGAAAGACATTTTGACAAAGAAGATGTACACACGGCCAACAGGCACAGGAAAAAATGCTCAACATTGCCAATCATCAGAGAAGTCAAAACTGCAAAGATATATCACCTCACACCTGTTAGAATGGTTATCATCAAAAGAGAACATAATAACATTTGAGGATTTGGACAAAAAGGAACCCTTGTATCCTGTTAGTAAGAATTGTCAACTGAAAAAAGAATGCACTCACTGAGCTGTGAGTTCAGTTTTAATTGGGGCTTATTGAGAGCTATAGCCTGGGAGACAGCCTCTCAGATAGCTCTGACAAACTGCTCCAAAGTGATGGTGGGGGGACATTAGTATATACGTGTAATTTTGGCACGTATTTCAATAGAAGATTGCTGCTAGTCGCAAGGAGCATATATGTCTTTGATAAGGATTTTAATGCTTTTCTAGATATGAGAAAATGCAAGAAATTGGGTCCATAAAATTTTCTGCTTACAATATCTCACTGTCTAAAGGCCTGTTCTGCCAGTTTTCCCAGAGCACAGAGTGCCTCATTCCTGATCTCCACCCTGAACCCCTTTCAGTGTTGAAGGTCAGCAACTACAGTGGCTAATGACTCAATTCTTGCCAAACCAGATGACAAGTGACATTTTTTAGTTGTCAGAATATAAATTTGCATAGCCACTATGGAGAACAGTATGGAATTTCCTCTAAAAATATAAATACAATATGATCCAGTAATTCTGGGTATATATCTGAAGAAAACACAAAAACAGTAATTGGAAAGGATACATGTATCCAAATATTCAAAGCAAAATTATTTACAGTAGCCAAGATATGGAAGCAACCTCACAGTTCATTAACAGTTGAATGGATAAAGAAGATGCAATATGTATGTACAATGGAATACTACTCAGCCATAAAAGGAATAAAAGTTTGCCATTTGAAACACTGTGGATGGACTTGGAGAGTATTATGCTAAGTGAAATAAGTCAGACAGAGAAATACAACTACCGTATGATATCACTTATATATGGAGTCTAAAAAATACAACAAACTAGTGAAGATAACAAAAAAGAAACAGACTCAGATATTGAGAATAAACTAATGGTTACCAGTCAGGAAAGGAATGCGAGGAGGGACAAGATAGAGTAGGGTGTAAGAGGTACAAACTACTATGCATAAAATAAGCTACAAGGATATATTGTACAGCACAGGTAATATTACTGATATTTTGTAATAGCTATAAATGAAATGTAGACTTTAAAAATTGTGATTCACTATGTTGTACACTTGAAACTATTATAATATTGCAAATCAATTATTTCAATAAAAAGTTAGTAAAAATTAAAAATAAAGGAAGCAGTATGTCAAAAAACAAAAAATTAAAAAATAAAAACAATATAGTTTTAGCATAAAGAATATATAATAGAATGGAAAAGACAGAAAACCCAGAAATAAATCCTTAAAACATATGACAAAATGATATTCAAGAAGGATCCCACATCATTCAATGGAGAAAGACAGTCTTTTCAACAAGTGGTGCTGGACAAACTGAATATTCGTATTATAGTGAAACTGTACCCTCATTTTTACCATATGAAAAATGAACTCAAAATGGATTGAAGACCTAAACATAAAAACTAAACTGTAAACTCTTAAGGGAAAAGCTTCACGGCAGTGGATTCAACAGTGAATTCTTCTATGAGACCTGAAGCACAGCAAGACAAGAAAAATAGATAAATTGAAAAGTGAAAAAAGTGAACATGAAGTCGCTTAGTCATGTCCAACTTTTTGTGACCCTATGAACTGCAGCCTGCCACGCTCCTTTGTCCATGGGGATTCTCCAGGCAAGAATAGTAGAGTGGGTTGCTATTTCCTTCTCCAGGAGATCTTCCTGACCCCAGGGATCGAACCCGGGTCTCCTGCATTGCAGGCAGACTCTTTACCCTCTGTGCCATCAGGGAAGCCCCATCAAACCAAAAATTTCTGTGTAAAAAGGACATAATAAACAGAGTGAAAAGGCTCCTCATGGAATGGAAAACGTTATTTGCAAGGCATATATCTGATAAGAGCATATAAAGAACTACTACAGCACAACAACAAAAATCAAACAACTTGATTAAAAAATGGGCCAGGGACTTGAATACACATTATTCCAGGGAATTTATAAAACTGGCCAATAGCCCCATGAAAAGATGCTCACTATCAATCATTAGAAAGATGTGAATCAAAACCTTACTATTTTGCCAGCTCATACCCATTAGAATAGTTACTATTTAAAAAAAACAGCAACAACAGAGTATAACAGATGTTGGTGAGGATATGTTGAAACTGATATTTTGTGCACTGTGGGTGGTAATGTAAATCATGCAACTGCTGTGGAAAAGAGTATAGTTGTTTCCCAAAAAATTTAAAAAAGAATTACCAATGATCCAGCAAAAAGCAAAAACTCAGAAATATTTGCTCACACATGTTCATAGCAGCATAATTTCAAAGGCCAAAAGGTATAAACAAGCCAAATGGTCATTGACAACAAGTGGATAAACAAAAAGTAGTATATTACATACAGTGGAATTTAATTCTGCATTAAAAAGGATTGATATTCTGACATACGCTACAAAATGAATGAACACAGATTTGAATGTATTTACTTTATGAAATAAGCTAATCACAAAAAGACAAATACTGTATGTTTCCACTTATATGAGGAACTTAGGATAATCAAACTGATAAATACAGAAAGTAGAGTATACATTCCAAGAACTGGGGGAAGGGGAAAATGAGGAGTTATTGTTTCCTGGGGACAGATGTTGAGTTTGGGAAGATTAAAATGTTCCTTAGATTAATGATCATGATGGTTGTACAACAATGGGAACTGACTTTATGCCACTGAACATTAATGCCACATAATGGTAAATGGTTTGTTTCATGAGAATCTCTGTGCTATAAAGGGGTTGTTGTTTTTGTTTAGTCACTAAGTCATGTCCAACTCTTTGTGACCCCATGAACTATAGCCTGCCAGGCTCCTCTGTCCAGGGGATTTCCCAGCCAAGAATACTAGAGTGGGTTGCCATTCCCTTCTCCAGAAAATATTCCCAACCCCGGGATTGAACCTGTATCTTCTGCATTGGCAGGTGGATTCTTTACCACTGAGCCCCCAGGGGAAGCCCCAAGTCAATATATTGAGGGAGCCATATTTCAATGGATTCTGAATTATAAGTCATTTTAGTTATAAGTAACTCAGCAAGTGTAATTTGCAATAAGACAGTAGAATGATTTCAGTTGTTCCCACCTTTTTGTCACATATGCTTATAGCCACTGAAGCGATGTGTATGTTTTCCAGTGCACAGTTTGCATGTTTATAATAGTTAGTGACTGTGTTCTCATCTGACAATGTCTGTTCCTCATTCAAAAAATAGATTCATAGCAACAGCCTTCAATTGCATCTGACCATAAAATTTGATCTGTCTGTTTCTAATGACTTCCAAAAATACTCTGAAAAGAGGAAATCGGGTTAATTCTACAAAAATTGGGCATATTATTCAAGGATATTTTCTTGTTTTTATTTTTAAAATACATCACTGATCTTGTAAATGACATCCTATAAGAGGAGGCAAACTGATTTGTATCTGTCCTGGCAATATTCTCTCCTGTCATGAATGAATTTGTGGAACTCATGTTTGGTGAGGAGTTGGCATGCAAACTTTGCAATCAGATCAGTCATTTTAGTCTGTGCCAACTGTAGGCTGAGCTGGATGGAAAAAGTTGAAAGCAAACCAGAGAAGCCTATGAATTGTAAAAAGTGAAGAAGAACTAAAGAGCCTCTTGATGAAAGTTAAAGAGGAGCATGAAAAAGTTGGCTTAAAGTTCAACATTCAGAAAATTAAGATCATGGCATCTGGTCCCATCACTTCATAACAAAGAGATGGGGAAACAATGGAAACAGTGGCAGACTTTATTGTTTTGGGCTCCAAAATCACTGCAGATAGTGACTGCAGCCATGAAATTAAAAGACGCTTACTCCTTGGAAGGAAAGTTATGACCAACCTAGACAGCATATTAAAAAGCAGAGACATTACTTTGCCAACAAAGGTC